GACAGAGCAGTGGCACAGGCTGCCCAGGGGGTGGGGGAGTCCCTTCTCTGGAGATTGTCAAGACCCGCCTGGATGCGGTTCTGAGCGATGTGCTCCGGGCAATCCTGCTTTAGCAGGGGAGTTGGGCTAGAGCATCTCTAGAGGTCCCTTCCAACTCTGAAAACTCCGTGATTCTGTGATTCTGTGAAGGAGCAGCTCCAGCCCGTTCCTCTCGGGGACAGGGCGGAGGGGGGGAAACGAGGAGTCATCGCTAATTGGGTTTTAGGTCTCTAAAAGAGGGCCCGGGCGGTCCCAGCCCCTCCTGCCTTACCTAAATATGACGGCGAGTCGATCCAGGGGCACGGTGGGGTCTGAGGAGAGGCCGTTGCTCGGCTCCTGAGAGAGCAGCTGGAAAACGAGGGAAAAGGAGAGGATTTGAGCACCGCAGGCAGCCCCGATCCCCGTGAAGACTTGAAGAAACGCTGCCCGCCCACCGGACCCCACCAGCAGCACCTCCGCGTCCCCTTCGAAGCAGGGCAGATATCTCCTCCAAGCTCGCCCAAGCCCCGGGAGGCTCCTAACCCCAACGTAGGTTACTCCAAAAGCTCAGAGCAGCTTCTGGTTTCATCTCCTCCGCGTTCCGAACCTCCTCAAAGGGATCTCGGAAGGAGAAGGGAGCAGGGCCAGAGGTGGAAGAGAAGCCACCAAGGGGTGAGAACCACTCGGAGCGGGCAGCGTTGGCAGCAGGAGCTCTCCAGAACCTCTCTCGTGTGGCTACGGGTCATCCTGAAGGGACAGAGGACATGCCCGTCCCTTTCTTGAGGCTGCCCTCCCTCCTCTTGCCGTCCCCCCGGGATTTCTACTCTCCCTTATCCTGGATCTGCACGGAAAAGTCCCTAAGGCCACCGAGTTTTTTGGGACAGCCAGAACGTGACCTTTTGAGGTCACCTGCCCCACGGGGAAGTCAAGTTCCCACGTTCTCCATCCCGGAGACACAGGGCGAAAGCTGCCGGCCGCATTGGAGGTGGGTTCAGGAAGGTTCCAGAGGGTTCTTTGACTCGTGGCACATAAACCAAATTTTAGGGACCGTTTTCTTCCCGTTCTGGCAGCTCAGTGTTTCCACAGCCAGGAGAGACTTGGGGACAGGTACAGTCTCGGTCCTGGACTCCTCGTACACCTCTGGCTTCGAGGACATGCAGTCACCGCAGCAGATAAAGCCACCGGGCAAAGAGGGAGCTGGGGAAGCTCGATGGCCTCTGATCCGTCCCCTCCGAACCGGTGACGGACAAAGAGCACATTAATGTGTGCACCCCACACATCGGTACAGGTTGGGGGTGACCTCCTGGAGAGCAGCTCTGTGGAAAGGGACCTGGGAGTCCTGGTGGCCAACGGGAGCCCCCGGAGCCAGCAATGTGCCCTGGCGGCCAAGAAGGCCGATGGCATCCTGGGGGGCATCAAGAAGAGTGTGGGAGGTCATCCTCCCCCTCTGCTCTGCCCCGGTGAGGCCACATCTGGAGCGCTGTGTCCAGTTCTGGGCTCCCCGGGTCAAGAAGGACAGGGAACTGCTGGAGAAGGTCCAGCAAAGAGCTATGGAGATCCTGAGGGGAGTGGAACATCTCTCTGATGAGGAGCGGCTGAGGGACGTGGGGCTGTTCAGTCTGGAGGAGAGAAGACTGAGGGGGATCTCCTCAACGCTGATCAATCCTTCAAGGGAGGTGCCAGGGGGATGGGACCAGTCTGTTTCCAGTGGTGCCCAGTGACAGGACAAGAGGGAACGGGCACAAACGTGACCATAGAAGTTCCATCTCAACCTGAGGAGGGCCTTCTCTGCTGTGAGGGCGGCAGAGCAGTGGCAGAGGCTGCCCAGAGAGGTGGGGGAGTCTCCCCCTCTGGAGCCATCCCAAACCCGCCTGGACGCCGTCCTGTGCCACTGCTGGAGGTGCCCCTGCTCTGGCGGGGGTGGCACTGGGGGAGCTCCAGAGGGCCCTTCCAACCCTGACCAGTCTGTGACTCTGTAACGTAGCTCCGACCGGGACGTACCTTCTTCAGCGCCATCACTTGTACGGCGCAGAGTTCGCTGAGGCATTCTGCGATCTTCTCCAAGGGGAGCCTGGCCAGGACCAGGGCCGTCCCTGAAAACCGAGAGGAGACAAAGCTCAGGAGCCGACACGCAGCACCGCAGTGCGACGACACGGCTCCGGGCCACAGGCGGGGGCCTCTTCCCCAGACCGGGGGACGCTTTCCCCCCCCT